AATGAGACTAAAGGGGCACACCAGCCCAGGGGCAAGGACTAGAAGGCAGGAGGGGACAGGAAAGCTGGTAATAGGGAACCCAAGGTTGAGAAGGGAGAGCGTTGACATGTCGTGGGGTTGTTAACCAATGTCATAAAACGATATGTGTACTAACTGTTTAATGAGAAAACTTCATTTAAACCTTCATCTAAAGTATAATTAACAAAAAAAAAAAAAGATACTTATTCTTGCTCCCAGAGTGCAGCCCCTGCCAATGCAGACTAATTATGAGAAGAAAGCTAACAGGAACCACAGCATCTCGGACCCAAAAAGAGCCACTGAGAGGGTCCCTGGACCATCAAGTCTCTCTCCAGCTCAGGGAGCACTGGCTAAAACCACAGCTTCCTGGAGCCCATTCCAGACCTGCTGAATCAGGGTAGGGCCCTGGGATTTGCATTTTAACAAGAGCCCCAAGGATTCTGATGTATCCCCCTCCATGGGAGACTGCAAAGCTGCCTCCAGCTGGAGGTGACCCCCCTGGGACTTCTGGAATCTGGCGTGTCTGAGGGCAGAAGATATTTAAAGAAATGTTAACACTGTCACTTTTAAGCAATTAGAGGCTCACAGAGCCCCATCCCATACAAGTACTCAAGGAACGTGTTTGAATGAGTACATGAGAATATGGACTATATTTAAGTGGAAACGGAGACTTCCAAGGTATGAGCACATATTTTTCCTTGAACGGTTAAAACTCCACTCTACCATCCTTCACCCTCAAACACTATCCATGCCGTGATTTCTTAAAACATTTGTTGGGTGTGGTCCCCACAAGGACCCACTGCCCCAGGCCTTCCTGGCTTCTGCACTACCCCCTCTTCCCCTGCTCCAGGAGTGGGCTCTCAAGCCAAAGACAGAGGCAGGAAGCAACAACAGGTGCGGGGATCGGGAAGGAGAAGAGATGAGGAGAGAAGAGGGGCACTGGAGAGAGAAACACGGGGCTGCCCGGGCCTGTGTCCCCTTCGGCAGCTATCTTCTCCTAGGCCCTGGGCTCACCTTCCCCAGGAAGTGTCTGCGGTAGGCCCTGGCTTCAGCCTTGCACTCGAGCTTGTAGCCAAATGTGTTGGGGCTGAGGTTGTCCTCTTCCTCCTCCTCACAAACGCTGCTTCCCAGTGACGTTGGCGTGCCCACGTTCTCAGGGTCCTCGATCCAGTAGCCCCCAAACTGGGGCAGGATGACTAGGGGGTATGGGCCACCCTTCTCCACAACCTGGAGACAGAGGGAGGGTCTCACACTGCAG